GAGTGAATCCTCCAGCTTTGTTCTTTTTAAAGATTGTTTTAGCTATTTTGAGTCCCTTGCATTTCCATATGAATTTTATCAACTTGTTCGTATGGGGAAAAAGGGGGAGGGGCAGTGGGAATTTTGAGGAATTGCGTTGACTCTAGAAGATCCGTTTAGGGAGTAATGCCATATTAACAATTTGTTCTCAATTCTATAAACACAGGATGTCTTTCTATTTAGATCTTCAGTAAAGTTTTTGGTTATCTTCATGTGACTCTTGCACATTAATGTTAGTTGTATTTCTAAGAGTTTGCAGTTTTTCTTTGATATTTTGAGGGATCTTTTAGCATAAAAATTTTTTAATTGGCTAATGTTACATAGAAAAGTTGTTAATTTTTGTCAGGGATAGATAAATAGACCAAAAGAATAGACTAGAAAGTCTGAAAACAGACCCACACATACAGGTTATGTTACTGGGACAAAGGTATTAGTAGTTCAGTAAGGAGAAAAGATGGTCTTTTCAATAAATTGCACCAAAACTATTGGATATCCATAAGAAATAAAGTGAGCCTTGGCCTCTACCTTAGGCTATATACAAAAAATAATTGGAGATGACTTACAAATCTACATTTCAAAGCAACAACAGTAGAGCTTCTCTAAATAATAGAATACCTTTATAACCTTGGAGTGGTCAAGGATTTATTGTAAAGGCCACAAAAATTACTAACCATTAAAAAATTAATGAATTGGACTTTGTTTAATTTAAGAACTTATGTTTATCAAAAGGTCTTATTAAGAAATTGAAAGGACAAGCAATAAACAGAAATATTCTTGAAACATTTCTGACAAAGGATTTGTATGTAGAATATGTAAAGAACTCTATGAACCAATAGAAAAAATGAGCAAAAGACGAACAGGAATTTCAAAAAGAAGATATCTGAATGGGCAGTAATAAGTACATTAGTCATCAGTAAAATAAGTATTAAAAGCCACAACAACATACATTGCAGACCTACTAAAATAAAAAGACTGATAATATGAAATGTTGGGGACTATGTAGAGCAACTAAAACTCTCATACATTGCTGGTGGAAGTGTAAATACTTTAGGAAAATATTTAATGCTTTCTACTAAAGCCAAATCTACATCTACCTTATAACATAGCATTTCCACTCCCCTAATATACCCAAAAGAAATAAAGGCAGATGCCTATACCCACCAAAGATATGTACCTATTATCATTTTCATAGTATCTCTATTTATAGGAGCCCCAAATTGGAAGCAACCCAAACGCCGAACATTAGGATGGATAGATAAGTTTTGGTATTTTTATGGAGTACTAAGCAGCATTACAAATGAACACATTTATGCTACATAAAACATGGATGAATCTCACAGACAGGACTGAGTGAAAGAATTCAGACACAAACGAATACAATGCCACGTAGATGGAGTTTCATGAGCAGATGAAACCAGTCATCATGATAGCTGACAGTATAGTGGTTATCCCAGGATATTGACAGGGAAAAGGAACAAAGTTTCTGCAATGCTGGAAATGTTCTATATTTGGTCTGGATGGTAAGTACGTGAGGGTGTGTCATAAGGTTAATTGGGCTGTATACATGATAGGCATTTGAACTTCACTGTGTATACTTTAATTTTAAAAGTAAAATGCATAAATACAGGAAGAGATTGAGTAAAATAGGCACCATAGCTTAGTCATCATTTTTCAGTTCAAAACATCACCTCTACTGGAGGTAAATGAAGGGTTTTGACAAAGGGGACCAAGATATCTTTAGTTTTTTAACAGAACTTCAAAGATCACAGATAAGAGTCATAGGAGAGAAAACCTGCCAGGGGTTGTCTATATCTTTCTCCACAAAGTTTTTAAGTCCCTTGCCTAAGCAGTATATGTGTAACAATCACTATCCTCCCAGTGGGAAGGAATATGGTGCACTTGAGATGGTAGAAACTCTATGAGCCACTGTTCTGGAGCATGACTTCATGGCCATTGAATTTCCTTGCTTTACTTGTTTTGTAAGGGTCACTGAGCAATTGAGCATGTACATATCAGTGAAATTCAAATATATTAACATTGTAGTTATTATAATTTCCTAAAGTTTAGTACACTGTACTTTAGAGGTTTTCCTATTTTTATGGGAGTACAGGATCACAAACTAGTAAAAGAGAACAAGTAACTCCTAAAATTCTGTTCCATAATTAACTTTATTTTGTTAGTATGAATTTAAATGTTCTCAGGTCATTAATGGTTTTTGTTTGTTTTTACAATGAATGATAATGTGATAGTTCAATTTCATTATTAGGTTTCTGTTCACTAATCAATACATGTTTGAGGAATTTCTTTCTTTAAGGAGCAAAGCATTTAGTACACCTTTTTTGCCATATAGTAGGTAGTACCCCTAGGTAAATTAACCCTTAATGGCAGGAGAAGCACATTAAACTAGACCCTAGGTGGTGAGTAAGGTTGGGTGGAGAGGGTAAATATTAACTCCTATAAACCAGAACAGGGAACCATCAGAAAGCATCAGGGTTTTCTGTGGTCTCAGGTGAAAGCCAGAGGTTGTTCTTTGAAGAGTGTATCTTCTTGATTCTCTGCCACAAATTTTGTGGGACTGGAATCATTATAGTGAAGTGCACTTCAAGTGTGAATTCAGAGCTGAGTACCTCCCTGGCTTTGACCTATCCTTAGGAAATGAGGAGAGGACATGAACATGACAGCACTGTCAGGCCAGGGCCCTTCTTACTAATGCCTTTTAGCTCTTAGTACTGCCAGTGCACTTCCCTATGTGAGAAGATTCTGTTCTGCCTCTGATACCAGTCGGACACTACCTTTTCTTTATAGTATGCCTGATCCTTATTAGGATAAGCAGTGAGTATAATGCAGTACAATTAGTGGTAGGAATGTTAAGAAAGAAAATGTAGTAAACTAAGTAAAATTTCTGCGAGATAAAGGAAACAAATGTCAGGGGAAATCTGTGCACATAGAATAGTTGGCAGTCATCCTATCTAATAATAGACAAACATGGTAATTAACCATACCTCCGACACGCTTCCCATTGGCTAATCAGGGCGATATGCAAATTAACTGCCAACCAAGATGGCGGCCGGCAGCCAGGCAGCTGAAGCGAACAGGAGGCTTGCTTGCTCCAGTGATGGAGGAAGCCAAGGTTCCCCGCCTGCCGCCGCCCAGCTCTGAGCTACACTCTAAGGAACTATGTTGCAGTTATAGAAGCTAAACAATCCCCAGAAACCTGCTTTCAGCCAGCCGGGCCTCAGAGCTGGAGTTGCAACAGTGTTTCAATTATAGAAGCTAAACAAAGCCCAGATACCTGCTTGCTGGAGCCGAGCCTCAG